GTGGTTTGGGGTGGTAGGGACCTTTAAAGGCATCTAACCCAACGCCCTGCCATGGGAAGGGACGTCTTCCACTGTCCCAGCTGCTCCAAACCCCATCCAACCTGGCCTTGGGCACTGCCAGGGCTTGTCTCACCAGACCTGGCTGACCTTCAAGAGCTCTGCTGCAGAGACGCTCGCTCGTGCCAGAAGGCTCTTCTGCTGCAGCTCAGAGCCACGCTGGTCAAGGAGCAGCTCGGTTTTCCTCTCCCTGCCTGGGAGGACGGGGATGTGCTGACCCTCAGGCCAGGAGCAGACCATGCCTGCTGAGCTGGGCTGGCCTGGGCAGGGAGCAGCCCTGCCTCACTGGGAGCTGCACAGCGTGAGGATGTGTCACAGAGACACGAGAGGGGACACCATGGGGCCACAGCGTGGTTTGGGGTGGTAGGGACCTTTAAAGGCATCTAACCCAACGCCCTGCCATGGGAAGGGACGTCTTCCACTGTCCCAGCTGCTCCAAACCCCATCCAACCTGGCCTTGGGCACTGCCAGGGCTGGGGCAGCCACAGCTGCTCTGGGCACCCTGTGCCTCCCCACCCTCATTGTGCATTATTTTTTGCTTATATGTAGTCTCAATCTGCCTCTTTTACTTTTAACCCATCATCCCTTGTCCTGTCATTACAGGCCCTGCTAAAAATCTGTCCCCATCTTTCTCCTGAGCTCCCCTTAGGTGCTGGAAGGGGCTCCCCAAAGCCTTATTTTCTCCAGCCTGAAAAATGCTGCCTCTCTCAGCCTTTCCTCACAGCTGAGGTGTTCCAGCCTCCTGATCAAAGAGGATGCCTCCTCTGGCCTGGCTCCAGCAGCTCCACATCCTCCCTGTGCTGTTCCCCAGGGCTGGCAGCTCTGCAGGTGGGGTCTCACATGAGCAGGGAGGGGGCAGAATGCCCCCTGCCCTGCTGCCCACGCTGGGGGTCAGGCCAGCACAGGGGGGTTTCTGGGTCCCAGCACACACGGCCAGGGAAGGGCCAGTTCTCACCCACCAGCACCCCAAGTCCTTCTCCCAGGGCTGCTCTGGGGCCCTTCCTCCCTCAGCCAGAGCCCACCCAGCTCCCTGCTGATGGCAAACACTGCAGGGCTCCTGTGCTGAAGCTGCAGGTGCAGAGCACCCACAGTTTTACAGCAGCTTCTGGCAGGCATTTCTCTGTCAGCAGCCGCAGGGGTGCTGCTGCTCCCACTGCTGCTCCTGCTGCCATGTCTGCTGGGAGATCATACCTAAAGACAAACACGTCACGTCAAAAGTTTTGCCCGTGAATTAATACTTTGAATGAAAGTGAATTAATGCTTCCCATGAAATGTTGAAGCACTCTCCTTGGCAGTGGGCTTGGCTTTTCCTTGCTGGTCGGACCTGTGCTGTGCATGTCCTGGCACAGCTGCCAGCTGGGCCCTGGCCTTCAGGTCTGCTTTGCTCCTGAAGACCCTGGGACACCCACCCGGGGCTCCTCCCAGACACTGAGCTGTGGCTCTCCAGAAGGGCCAGGTGGCCACAGAAATCCCCGTGGAGTCACAGCTCCCTGTGACTGAGCTGGAGGAGCATTGTGCAGGAGGATCCCAGCTCCAGCTGCTTAGTGCTGGGCTCGGGGGCTTGGCTCAGAAACAGCTGCACGAGGGCAGGAGGGAGCCCTGGGACATCCCAGGCTGGGGACAGCAGCCAGCTGAGTGACCCTGGGTGGCCCTGGGTGGCCCTGTCCTGCTCCGGGATGCCGTGGGGACAGCTGCTCCTGCTGCTGGGCATTGTATTTGGGGAAATACCTGCCAAGCTGCCCCCTCTAGGACACCTGCTGTTTGGCCCAAACACTCCAGTTTCCTGGAAGGGCAACTCCTTTCCCTTCCCTTTCCCTTCCCTTTCCCTTTCCCTTTCCCTTTCCCTTTCCCTTTCCCTTTCCCTTTCCCTTTCCCTTTCCCTTTCCCTTTCCCTTTCCCTTTCCCTTTCCCTTTCCCTTTCCCTTTTTTCCCTTTCCCTTTCCCTTTCCACCAGCTTTAAATGTTTGTGTTTGTTCTTCAGCCTTTTCCTCCTTGTCCCACAGGTTCAGAGACTTTCTCAGGGAATTCTCTCCTGTGAAGGCCAGATAGGAGATCTGTCCTTTCTGCAGAGTTTAGGGGAAGGGCTGGGGGTCAGGCCAGCACAGGGGGGTTTCTGGGTCCCAGCACACACGGCCAGGGAAGGGCCAGTTCTCACCCACCAGCACCCCAAGTCCTTCTCCCAGGGCTGCTCTGGGGCCCTTCCTCCCTCAGCCAGAGCCCACCCAGCTCCCTGCTGATGGCAAACACTGCAGGGCTCCTGTGCTGAAGCTGCAGGTGCAGAGCACCCACAGTTTTACAGCAGCTTGTGGCAGGCATTTCTCTGTCAGCAGCCGCAGGGGTGCTGCTGCTCCCACTGCTGCTCCTGCTGCCATGTCTGCTGGGAGATCATACCTAAAGACAAACACGTCACGTCAAAAGTTTTGCCCGTGAATTAATACTTTGAATGAAAGTGAATTAATGCTTCCCATGAAATGTTGAAGCACTCTCCTTGGCAGTGGGCTTGGCTTTTCCTTGCTGGTCGGACCTGTGCTGTGCATGTCCTGGCACAGCTGCCAGGTGGGCCCTGGCCTTCAGGTCTGCTTTGCTCCTGAAGACCCTGGGACACCCACCCGGGGCTCCTCCCAGACACTGAGCTGTGGCTCTCCAGAAGGGCCAGGTGGCCACGGAAATCCCCGTGGAGTCACAGCTCCCTGTGACTGAGCTGGAGGAGCGCTGTGCAGGAGGATCCCAGCTCCAGCTGCTTAGTGCTGGGCTCGGGGGCTTGGCTCAGAAACAGCTGCACGAGGGCAGGAGGGAGCCCTGGGACATCCCAGGCTGGGGACAGCAGCCAGCTGAGTGACCCTGGGTGGCCCTGGGTGGCCCTGTCCTGCTCCGTGTGCCCCGGGGATGCCGTGGGGACAGCTGCTCCTGCTGCTGGGCATTGTATTTGGGGAAATACCTGCCAAGCTGCCCCCTCTAGGACACCTGCTGTTTGGCCCAAACACTCCAGTTTCCTGGAAGGGCAACTCCTTTCCCCTCCCTTTCCCTTCCCTTTCCCTTTCCCTCTCCCTTCTCCCTCCCCCTTTCCT